CACTGTAATGCTTGCCATGGGCCCGGTAATTTTCCTGGGGGCAAATTTCCGGTCCCTTTGCACCCAGCACCCCCCCCGGTTGACCCCCGATTCAGATCAGAGCAAGCACACACCCCACTCAGTTCAGCTAGCGGTCCAAGATATTGACCTCTCTCTTTCTTATAGAGTTCACATTCAAATAATATATGTGCTAATGTCCTCTATCTTTGGGGTCCCACAAATACAAGTACGTTTGTCATAAGGAACTTGATTAAACCTTCCATATTTAACCACTGTGTCCAGCAGCTCAGATCTCACTTGAACAACTACCCCCCTAAGATGCTTGGACATTTCTGTGTTTAAATATGTGGCCACTTGGAAGGTGTGTTTATAGTGGACTGTTCATTTTAATGTGCCATTGATCTCAGAATGGGGGGGGGGGGTAGAAGTTAGGGTTGGGATATAATTGTTTATTCATTTAAAGAATGTAGAGATCATCTCATTCTGGGCAGTTTAAACTTTAAAAAGCAAGAACAGATGATATGCAGCCTGAAAGAAAAAAAACATACTTAATAAACAAAGAAAAATCTTACAGGGATACACCAACCATCCTACCTCAAAGCCAGGTAGAATAGCCAAGTTTTCATTACCTTTGGGACATCATCAGGGTGGGAGCCAGATGGGTCTCCGAGGGGAGGCACTTCCAGAACGCAGACACCGTGACACAGAAGGCCTCTTCCGGCTCTTAGAGTTAGCCAGCTCTTTGATGTTGGCTAATAAAGAGGTACATTCTTCTAGTCTGAAGTTGAATTCTGGTTGGTCTGTGCATATTTAATTAGGAAATAATTTTTTAAAGCACGTTAAGAGGATTTATATGAGGATATAACATTAGGCAACTTTGGGGGCACATCTGACTTTTTAAAGACTTTCCAAAGACAAACACTCGTGAGATGCAGGTAGTCATGATGGTAAGTTGGAAGTTCATCACAATGGTGATGAAAAGTTGGAAGTGCTTTCCCTCCATAGTTCCCAAAGAGAGGAGGACAGAGGGACTAACAGGGGGTACAGTGATAGGGACAGAGAGTGAGGCAAGCAGAGGAATAGACCCATATACACAAAGTGGGAGAGACAATGTGACAAGGGCGATGAGAGAAGGCAGCAGATCAACCAACTTGACAAGTGAATCTAATGGACTTCAGCTAGGAAGAAAAGACTTCTCCAACCCAAAATGAATTTGCCGGTGATTTAGGCCAAAGGCTAATGTTTGCAAGAGGGGGATAAGGGCCAGAATGTGTGCTGCAATGCAAACCCTGCCCCTTACACCCCCGTGTGCAACATCACAACGCAAGTAGGAAAGGGCAGAGCTGGTGTCATGTCATCACAAGACACATTTCCTTGTTATTGTGGCTCGGAATGGATACCAACAGGGAGAGAAAGGTTTTGCACCCAGTGAAAGCCTATGGAAAAAATGAATCTGTAGACGTTCATTCAGAAAAACATACCACCTACAAAAAAATCAGTTGATTGGGGGAGGGAGGACACCTGAAGCAATCCTTGACATGGAATATCCATCTCCGTCTTTCCAGCCAATTTTTGGCATGGGAGCCTTTCCCTTAAATCAGTGTTGTCCAAACTTGGCCACTTTAAGATGAGTGGACTTCAACTCCCA